TGTCCACTCTGTGCCTGTGGCATGGCTCACTGCTGTGCTGTGTCAGAGATAAGGGGGTCCAGAGGGACCCAAAGGGCAGTGTCCACCTCACCCTCCACTGGGGCACAGTGGGCAGCTGTAGGACAAAAACTATCATGGTGGCCGATAGCCACTCAAGACCCTTCCCACCATGTGGGGCCACAGACAGGACTGGGACCAGTTGGGGCTTTGGGCTGGGGAGGGGAACGTCCTAGGGGTGCCCCTGCAGGCTGGGCGGGCTGTGGAGGGACCAGGGTGGTGGCAGCTTTGGGGCCCAGGACACTGATGAAGGCACAGCAGGTCCCGAGGCCCACACTAAGCACTTGTGCCCCAGGCCCAGGCAGGGATGGGACTGGGGCCTGGGGGAAGGTGGGGCCAGGGCTAGGGACACAGCTCCAGGGGAGATGGGGATAGTGGGGCACACGCCCACCCCTCCACACCTAGGGTAGGACCCCCCACGCCTGCCCAGCTCTCCTGACTGACTCCCTGAGCCTCCCCAGGCAGGCAGCCCTGACGTAAGAGGTTGCTGGTGCCTGCTGCCTGCTCCAGGGTGTGTGAGGGGCCGGAGGTCCAGGGCAGCTGCCTCACTGGTTTCCAGCTTTGGCCAGTCCTTGCCAGCATGCCTGTGTGAGTGCGTGAATGAATGAACTAGTGAATGAATGAATGAATGAACAAATGCTCAGGGAGCAGGTCTCTGAGCAGCACCCCAGCCCTACCCCCAGGAACCAGATCTCGAGCCCAGGAGGGCGACCTGGTCCCCTCACAGTGGCCCTGGCAGAACCAGCTGTGTCACTGCCCTGCTTCAGGTGGCTGGCATGGCCCCTGTGCCTCTGAGCCAGCCTGGGGTGCCACCCCTCCCAGCCCCTGGGGACCCTCCTGGTGGGTGAGACTGGCAGGAGGTGCAATCTTCAGCTGCTAATTGCGATGCCTGCAGCTTGCTGAGCTAAAAATAGCCTCCGCTCTTGTTGAGTTGAAAAATAGAACCCGCATCGCCGTCTCAGAATGCTGCCCCTCCCACCCCCCATGCACGCAGTCCCCTGTCCCCAAGACACTGGCTGCACGCCTGGGAGCCTGCGCAGGATGCTGTGGGAAGGCACGCTCGCCCACCCCCAGGCAGGAGGCCTGAGGGTCCAGGCCTTCATGGAGCAGTGGGGCAGAGCTGAGGGAGGGGGAGGCAGCACAGGGCAAGCAGCCTGCGTATCCCCAGATGAGTGGTGTCTCCGTGGGCTCTGCTGTGGACAGGAGCGCACCATGCTGGGCACTCTGCCCCCTTGTGGTGGATGTTTGAAGTACACAAGGGTGGCTGACCCGTGGTGTCTGCATTTCCCACCGGTTCCCAGAGCTGCAGACTAGGATCCGGGGACCTAGAATCCTGAGTGTCCTGAGAACGGACGGGTGGATGGAGGAGGCCTGGCCCATCCTGGGTTGGCTGTGCTGGGTGATGTTTGTGACACCTGGCTACCTTCCCACATTGCTGCCTCGGTCCCTCTGGGCTGGACAGACCTGAGTCACAGTCTCCTGGGACTGGACAGGGTGGTGGCATGGGTAAGATGCCACAGACCCTCCAGGGCTCCAAGGACACAGTTCTTGCTCAGCCTGAAGCCCAGCTGGACCACCCTCCCCTGCTCACCTTCTTGCCTGGGTGTGACAACATGGCCCAGGGGGCAGTGCCGTGGTGTCACTGCTCCGGCCAGCATGGCGGGTTGCCAGGCCTGTCCCTCTGTGTGCAGGAGTCAGTCTTTCTGGGGGCCACAGGGCCGTGTCGCCCTGCCCATGGGTTGGTCTTTGGTCTGGGGGGCAGGGAGCACATCTAGGACATTCAGGCGCTGTGTGGTCAGGCCCGGACAGGCATGGACACGAAGATGCCGCACATAGCAAGCCCTGCATAGTGAGGCTGGGGCACAGCCGGGCCCCCGGGTCTCCAGGACAGGGCCATTCTGGGGTCCAGAGGCTCCTGGGTGGCAGGTGTCACCCTCCAACTTGACACTGGGACAGGTGGAGGTAGCAAGTGGGAGGAGGACGTTGTTGGGGCACGAAGGGTCCTGGCGTGTGTGGGCCTGACTGCCTCCTCGGGGCAGTGGCCTGGCCTGTTCCCAGAGCAGCTGTGTCTGTCAGGTGCCCGCCTCTGTGCTGCCTGGGATGCTGGGGGCCACGTGGGAAGCGGGTGGGAAGTACACTGGCACCCCACATCCTGCGAGGATGCGAAGGAAGCTTACTGCCCCTTGGCAGCGCCCCACACCTCCCTCCCCTCCTGAAGTCACTGCCCTGGGCCACCAAGGCTCCGCACCAACTCTCAGCTCTGCAGTTCCGAGAGGCTGTGAGCCTGGGCCCCCACTGCTCTGGCACAGCTGTCCCTTACACGTGCATGGGTGTGCGCACTTGTCGGCCCGCGTGTGCACCTGTGTATGAGATTGTGTGCACCTGGTGTGTGACTGTGTGATTATGTGTGCCTGTGTGTGCGGCTGTGTGACGGTGTTCACCTGTGTGTGACTAGGCGTGATCGTGTGTGACCGTCTGTGTGCCTGTTGTGCACCTGCATGTGTTCCTATATTCACCTGTGTGTGTGTTTGCGTTCCCTTGTGTGCATGTGCTGTGGTGGCTGAGAATTCTCAGAAGCCAAGGTGCCTGCCATGTCCCCAGGCCTCTTGCCCCAGGCACCTACTGAAAGGTTGCTGAGTCTGGCCGGCAGGGAGCTGCTGCACTGCTGCCGGGCAGGTGGCCACCTCCATCCCCTTCAAGGCCCAGCAGTGGGACTTGGCCCCCACACAGGGAGGCCTTGACTGGCTACCGGAGCTGGCAGAGGACCCTCCCTCTCCAAGGACCTGGGCCCCAGTGTCTCCACCCCCTGGTGGCCCATGTGTCGTGGGTGGTGGGGAGCTCTTCAGCAAGCTGTGAGTCACTCACACCTTCTCTGTGTCGACTGCTCTATAATTACGAGGTATTGCTTTCCCGTCGGCACAGGATGGCTGTGAGGGCCGCTGGCTGTCGGGTGCAGCCTGCCCCGACACATGCACTGAGGGCCCTGCCTAGCCGGGGCCCTGCCATGCCTGGTGCTGCAGTGGGTTAGGTGCTGGGCACAGCCAGGGCTTCCTGGGCCCTTGAAGACCTCAGAGAGGGGGAGTCCAAGCTCCCCCAGACTCCAGTCAGGCTCCTCAGGATGGCCTTGGGATGTCCCACGTGGTCCTGGTGCACACCTGGCTGGGCACCCAGGTTTGCTGCACAGCACTCTCAGCTCAAATGAGGCCTGGGCTGAGGTTGGGGGGTGGCATGAGCTGCTGGCCTGCGGACCGTGCAGGGCTCAGAGCAGGGCTGGCAAACCTATGGTATGTGTGTTGCAGTGGGCTGTTTTCATCACTGAAAGCTCTAAAAGGTTTGCCACCCCTGGCCTAGAGTGTTGTGTGGGGTCGGCTGTGGGTCCAGGTGCCTGCATGGGTTGCAGGGTGCTGAGCGCACACAGAGGGAACAGCTCTGGGTGAAGTCTGGCATGGCTCTTGCTCACCCAGGCTCCCTGCACACCATGGGTGTTAGGACTGTGCCCCTAGGGCCTCCCACAGCACAGCCTGATGCATCTGCAGAGGGAACACTCCCTCTATGATCCAAGGGTGGGTCCTGATCAAGGTGTGCCTCACTTGTCACCTGGGGACCCACTTTGGGCCTGAGCCTGTGTGAGGCACCAGGCCTAGCAGGATAGGAGTGATGGGGCCACCTGTACCATTCACCACACAGGTGGTCATGGAGCAGCCCTGGGGCCTGTGTAGGGACTCAGGAAGGACAGCTGCTTCTACCTCGAGCCAGCTGCCCAGCCGTACCCAGGAGGCCTCCTGGAGGTGGTGGGCTGCCTGGCCGGTGTGGAGCCCAGGGTTTCCTTGCCAGCTGTGTTCTGCCATTTGCCCACCCGTGCATCTGAGCTCAGGGCCCAGGCCCTTTGCTCCTCAGTGAGGTGCAGGCCCTGGCTGCTGTGGCACGGGGCGAGGCCACCTACTCTACAGCAGCCTTGGGCCTCTGGAGCAGTGGAGCCATCGTGGCAACCTGTGCCTGCACAGTGGAGAAACTGAGCCAGCATGGCTCTGGGCTTGTGGCAGTCGGCAAGGCTACCATGGGCCGCTGTCCACCACCTCCTGAGCAAGCTCCTCCCGACAATGGGGCCTTTAAGGGCCACCACACAGGAGCCAGCAAGGTCTCAGGCCTGTGTGGGGCCAGGACGGGCAGAGGGTGGGGCCACCCTGTGTGACCGGCCCACAGTCCCCTGTGGTTGTGCCCACTGCCCTGAGATCTGGGCGTCTCCTGGCCAGCAAGAGGGTGGGCTTCCCAGGTGCTGATCTGCTGCCTTGGGCAGTGGGGAAACAGGCCTGGGGGCTTGCTCCATGTCCCGCCTCCCGAGAGCTCCTAGCAGAGGCTAGGCTGCAGCATGAGGTGGTAGTGGAGGGATACTGTAGTCCCTGCCTGGATAACCAAGCCCTGCTGGGCTCTGCCCCCTCACAGCCCTCTCTCATTCTGAGTCCTGGGTCTTCCCTGGCCCCGGCCTGGGCTTCTTCTCTGTGTTCAGGGTCTGCCCTCTTATGCCACACCCAGCCTACCAGCTCCCCTGGGTTATGGCAGGATATGCCCTCAGGTTCTGATACTGCCCTTGGTCCCTGCTAATGCCAGGCTGGGAACGTGGTCAGCCCAGGCCTCAGACCACTATCCCGCCTGCCCCTTCCACATATTTGGGCTGCAGGACCTGATACCGGCTGTCTTCATGCCTAGGACCTGTCTTCTCCTGGAAGCTGCATGGCCAACACCAACCCTTGCCTACCTGGGTCGGGTCCTGTGCTTTCTCCACTTCTCTCTATACTCACCCTCTGCCTGGGTGCCACCCCAGGGTCAGGCCTGGTATGCAGGAGCAGGAGCCAAAGACACATTCCTCAGACCCCACACACTGCTGCAGGCTTTTGGGAGGAGGCCCACAGTGCCCCAAGCCTCATGGCCTTGTTCCTCCACAGGAAACTATGCCCCAGACATCTGTGGTCTTCTCCGGTATCCTTGGGCCCGGTGGTAGCGGACAGGTGCAGCCCGGCATGGGGGAGAGGGGCAGTGGCGCTGGGGACCTCATCTTCCAAGACGGACGCCTTGTCTCCGGGTCCTTGGAGGCCTTGATGGAGCACCTGGTCCCCACTGTGGACTACTACCCTGATGTGAGTGCCTGGGCCTGGGGAGGAATGCAGGGGGACTTGGCTCGGGGTCAGGGGACAAAGCTGCAGAGCAGCAGGGGACACTGGGGCTAGGCAGCTGGGACGGCCCCTGGGGCACTGGAGGCTGCCAGCCCCAGGGGAGGGAAGGACATGTAGGAACAGAAGCCTGGTTTGTGCATGAGACCCCCGGTCCGGAAGGAGAGGGGTCAGCCACCTGAGCAAGGACCCATGGTTCTGTCTCCACCCTGGTTACAGAGACCATCCCCTTGTTTGCCTGCTGTGGAGCAGGATGCCAGCTGGGCATTCTCGCCCCTCACCATGAGGACAGTCATGGCCCTGAAGTCCACACAGTGTGGAGATGCAGGGCCAGTGCCTTTGCCTGGCCCAGGTGTGTGGGCAGATGTGTCCATTATGGCCATGCCCGTCTGTCCACCTAGCTCAGGCTCAGGGGTAGAGCCAGGAGCAGGCACCCTAGACTGAGAAAGGCCTGGCCACTCAGAGCAGTGTCCCCGGGCACACGCTTGCTTGTGGAGGTGGTGGGGCTCAGAGCTGGCAGGGATGCTCCTGTTTACAGGCCACGCCCCCACTGACCAGCCCTGCCCTTGCCATGCGAGCCATGCCCCCCGCCGGCTGGGCTTTCTCTGCCACACGAAGCCCCCATTCCTCAGCTGGGCTCCACCCCGCAGGCCTCTGGGTCGTCCTGGGGCACAAGGTGGGTAGAGCAGCAGTCAGGAGAGGAGGGTGTAGGGACTCCAGCAGTGCCATGCCTGAGGTGGGGGCCATGCAGGTGCCCCTTATGGCATGGCCTGTGTTCTATGTCCCTCCCCAGAGGACATTCATCTTCACCTTCCTGCTGACCTCCCGAGTCTTCATGCCCCCGCATGACCTGCTGGCCCGCGTTGGGCAGATCTGCCTGGAGCAGAGGCAGCAGCTGGAGCCTGGGCCTGAGAAGGTGAGTTGGAGGGGAGCTGCTGGGGAGGCAGTTGCCGGCACCCTTGGGTGGCAGCTGAGAGCTTCTGCCAGGCTGCAGCCCTGAGTCTTCAGTCACACTGGCAGCCCTGCTGGCAGAGGCAAGGGTGGGTTAGGCTGGTGGCAGAGCCCAGGTGTAGTTCCCCTAGGCTGGTGCCTGCTCACTGCAGGCATCCTCAGCATCACTGACTGGAATGCCCAAAAGCCCCCGCTGGTCCCCAGGTCCCAGGAACCCAGCATTCCTGCAGAAGGCTGCCGTGAGCTGTTCTGGCTACCCTTTGGCTCTGCCTGCATGGCCAGGCACCTGACACAGGTGTGCAGATGAGGCTGCGGGCGCCCTGTAGCCCATCTGTTTCCTCAGGGTGGCTGGCTGCAAGTAGCACGTCCCAGGGCACCTGCCAGCCACAGTGTCCAGGTCCCCAGAGCAATAGGCAGTCACCCTGCACTGTGGGATCAGTTTGGCCTAGGGTAGGGCAGGCAGCGAGCGAGGAGGGCTCGTGGGAAGCTCTGGGGCATGGAGGGGTTTTGGTCTTCGTGGTGTCTGGTGTTCTGGGGGTCAGAGTGAGCACCACATCCCTGCCTTCCTCCCTGGGCAGAGGTCCCACAGCATCTTCTGAGCAGGACAGTCACTTCCCTCACCCCTCTGCCCTTTGTGGGCATGCAGTGGCCTGGGTGATGCACAGTCGAAGCCCAGTCCAGCAAGGCCAGCGTGCCATGACAGGGACGGGTGGAGAGTTTCATTTAACGCTATTGAACTCATGCTTTTTACGCACGATGTATAATTACAATAAATGAAACCAGTGCTCTGTGTCAGGGTGGTGATGGAGTAGGGCTTTGAAAACGCATTTAAGTGATAAAGCTGACCCCAGGGGCTGGAAAACACACAGGAGTCCCTTGGTGGGGTGGGGATGGCTGCTGTCTCAGGGTTCAGGCTGACTGGGGGCCTCACTGTCTACACTGCCCAGGCCAAGCTGAAGTCCTTCTCCGCCAAGATCGTGCAGCTCCTGAAGGAGTGGACAGAGGCCTTTCCCTATGACTTTCAGGATGAGAAGGCCCTTGGCGAGCTCAAGGCCATTGCGTACCGCGTCACCCAGTGTGATGAGGTGAGGGTGTGTGCAGTGGCCTCGGGAAGGAGGGGTTGAGGGACAGCCCCATATGTGGCTACAAGGGACCCCGCCATGCCCCCAGGTGGTGGCTCAGCTGGTGAGCTGTGGGCTAGGCTCACTCACAACAGTGCACGTGCAGCAGCCATGGATGTCTCCTGGCCCAGGAGTGGGCTGCGTGCATGCAGGTCTGGGTGGTTGCATCCCAGAGGTGGGGGTCCCTCTGTGGTGGGTGGGCCCTGGTGGCATCCTTACTGTCCCCCACCGGCAGGAGAATGGCACAGTGAAGAAAGCCATCACACAGATGATCCAGAGCCTGCTGCTGTCCTTGGCTGCCCGGAGCCAGCTTCAGGAGCTGCGGGAGAAGCTGCGGCCACCAGCTGTGGACAAGGGGCCTGTGCTGAAGGCAAAGCCGCCGGCAGCACAGAAGGACATCCTGGGCGTGTGCTGTGACCCCCTGGTGCTGGCCCAGCAGCTGACCCATATTGAGCTGGTCAGTGCCTTGCACTGCCTGGGTGGGCAGCCACATTCACCCCCACAGGGCTAGGGCTGCTGCCACAGAGATCCTGCTGGCCACACTGGTGTCCCAGGCTGCTGTCTGTGTGCACAGGGCAGCGGGTGTCTCTGCCTGCACTGGGCCCCAGGAGCACAGCAGCCCCGGGAATGGAGGGGCTGGCTGGTAGGTGCTGTGGTGGCCCCAGGATGGAAGGTTGGTGTGGTGGGAGTGGAGGGCACTGCTCCAGTGCGCCATCCCCTCTTCAGGCAGGCGGGCAGGTGACTTTCCTTTGCTGTCCCCACAGGAGAGGGTCAGCAGCATTCACCCTGAGGACCTGATGCAGATCATCAGCCACACAGATTCGCTGGACAACCACAGGGTGGGTGGGCCAGGCATGGCACTCTCTGGGTCCAGGGAGGGGTTCTTCTAGTGCCTGCCTTGGGGTTGTGATGGACGCACAGCGTGCTCATGCTTGGCAGGCCTGGCTGGGCCTAGGTGGGGGACCAGGGCCGGCATGGGGTTCACTGTCCAGCCAGGGCCCTCGGAACCTGTGACCTGCCTTACCCTTCAGTGCCGAGGAGACGTGGCCAAGACTTACAGCCTTGAGGCCTATGACAGTTGGTTCAACTGCCTGAGCATGCTGGTGGCTACCGAAGTGTGCCGGGTAAGCGCCAGGGCGGGCAGTGCTGAGGTGTGCCAGGTGAGCATCACAGCAGGGCGGCAACTGGCCCTGCACTCCAGGGAGGCCCTAACACCTGCTTCATCTGACTCAAGGTGGAAGATGTGACTTTAGAAGGAAATGCACGAGGTGCCCACTGCCGGGGCTGAGGCAGTGCCTGACCCCTACTCTAGGGGTCTTAAAGGGCCAGTGGCACCCCTGTGGCCAGCAGCCTTCCCCCAGCCTGGGGTGGGAGCTTCACTGGTCCTCGGGCCCCCAAGGCAAACTGAGCAGGGCAGAGTGCGTCTGGGGTCTCAGGCCCTGCGTCCGGTGGTGCCCTGCTGAGCTGCCCCGACATGCAGGTGGTGAAGAAGAAGCACCGGACCCGCATGCTGGAGTTCTTCATCGATGTGGCCCGTGAGTGCTTCAACATCGGGAACTTCAACTCCATGATGGCCATCATCTGTGAGTGGCCGGGCCAGCCTGGGCAGGGGCCCTGCTGCCTCCTCTATGGACCCTGACCCCTGCCACTGTCCCTGCAGCTGGCATGAACCTCAGTCCTGTGGCACGGCTGAAGAAGACGTGGTCGAAAGTCAAGACGGCCAAGTTTGACGTCCTCGAGGTAGGTCTCCGGATGCAGTGCCCTTACCCTACATAGCATCCTGCGTGGGCCAGGGCTCCAGGGAGAGGTGGGGCTTCCTTCTCACTCTGCCTTCAGGCGGCGGGTGCCCAAGCACCCCTTGATTTCTGCAGGGAACCCAGAGGACTGGTGTCACAGTCTGACAGAGGGGACCCTGCCCACTGAGCAGCCTGACGGCCTCTTTGGGCGATGTATCCTTGTCCTTGGTCCCCTGGGCAGCCAGGAGGTTGGGAGACCAGATCATCTGTGGCTCTGCCTAGATGTGTCTGAGAATGAAATCCATCTTATTGCAAAACGTTTACGTCTTATGGAACGCCTCGGATCTGGGAGGTGTCGAGGTGCCCAGAGGAAGGGAGAGTTGGGGACACGATGGGTGTGAGCAGGGCCGTGGCCACCACAGTCTGCAAGGCCCTGACTCAGTAGGCACCTGCTCCAGGATGCCCCAGGGTGGTCTGGGGCTCAGCAGTCCCCTACCCTGCCTGCAGCACCACATGGACCCATCCAGCAACTTCTGCAACTACCGCACGGCCCTGCAGGGCGCTACGCAACGGTCCCAGACGGCCAACAGCAGCCGAGAGAAGATCGTCATTCCTGTGTTCAACCTCTTTGTCAAGGACATCTACTTCCTGCACAAAATCCACACCAACCACCTGCCCAACGGACACATCAACTTCAAGGTGCCCAGCGTGGCGGCTGAAGAGGCCATATTTTCTTTCCTGAGCCCGCTGGGGCTCTGAAGGGCTGTCAGGGTGGGCGGGCTGCTGTCCAGCAATGAGGCCTGAGGTGTGGCCCCTGCCTTCTAGGGGCGACCTGGTCACAGAGCTTGGGCTGTGGCAAGCTGTAGTGACCCAGGGTGCTGACTTCAGCGCCAACCTCACTGGAGAGCTGGAGGGGCTGCCCTAGGCCCTAGGTTAGGAGGACTTTGGGCAAGAAGAGGAGGGCAGGATAGGGTGCCTGGGGAGGCCTGTGTGGCCCTGGGCAGGTGTGTGGCTCCTGCTTGGGCCTGAAAGGGAGACAGCAGGGCAGCAGGACAGAGGGCCTTGAGGACTGGGCCAGCTCTGAGGCTCATGGCCAGCATGGCTGCAGGTTGGCCATACGGACCCAGCCTAGGTCCCTGCCTTTGACCACGGGTTTTAAGCTCAGGTTGACAGACATCCCACTGGCCTTGTGTCCCTTCAGAAGTTCTGGGAGATCTCCCGGCAGATCCACGAGTTCATGACCTGGACGCAGGTGGAGTGCCCCTTCGAAAAGGACAAAAAGATTCAGAGCTACCTGCTCACAGCACCCATCTACAGTGAGGAAGGTGAGCGCCCCAACTCCATCCAGGCCCGAGCCTTGAGGACACCCAGGCCACCAGCCAGGAGGGTCTGTGGGCAGGTGGGTGTGGGCAGATGACAGAGGACAGGAGAGGCTGCCAGGAGGAGGATATGCTGGAGTCCCCAACAGGCAGCCTCAGACGCTTGCTGTGACAGCTGGGCACGGTGGGCAGACACCAAGGGCGCGGGTTCTAAGGCCTCCCCACCCTTCAGCTCTCTTCATCGCCTCCTTTGAGAGTGAAGGCCCCGAGAATCACATGGAGAAGGACAGCTGGAAGGCCCTCAGGTAGGAACTCAGGGACAAAAGGCCACCCGGAGGACGGTGGGAGGCTGGGCTGTGTGGCAGGAAGGCCCCGCCCTTGGTGCTCCTGCAGGAGACTGAGCGCCTCTGTGCCCTGTCTCGCAGGACCACGCTGCTTCACAGAGCCTGAGTGGGTCGCCTGCACCTGCACCTGCGGACGCCAAGACGCTCACGTGTGCGCTGTCTCAGTGGATGTGGGTTGAGACCAGGAGGCCTCACTGGTTGGGGTCCATTTTGTATATAACTTTTATGAAAAAGAAAATGGTAATTATTTCATGCATCAACCTTTGGCACTTACAAAGATTTTTGTTTATTTTGAGTAACAGGGCAGGGCCCTGCTTTGGGGAGGGGTGGGGAAAGAGTATCAAGGGAGATGGTATCCACGATAGCATCTTCTAATGAAATGTAGAGTTTTATTTTCTACTTTGATTATGAACATCTTATGAGAAAATATTTAGAAAAACCCAACCAAAAGCAGCAGCGTGAGCCCTGCCTGCTCGAACGCCTTCCCAGCCAGTCTCTGATGTCAGGTTAGTGCCTTACAGGGTACTGGGGTCCGGTCTTTCTGCTCGAGCTCTGCCCTGGCAGCAGCTCCTGGGGAGGGGCTGGGGCGGCCGGAGGGTGGCAAGCCTTTGATGCAGGCTTTCCAAAGTTTACATTTTCATTTTCTTTATCAGGGATTTAGGGGTCAGGGAGGGCAAAGGGATGGCCTGGCAGTGTGTTTTCTGTGAGACTGCAGCTTGCAGATTCTTTAATTGCATTTTGGAAAAGAACAAATGTAAAACAACAGGGGAGTGAGTCCTGGCCTCCCGTTAGGGAGTTTAACTGAAAAGCACCCTGGGCTGTCATGAGATCAGAGTAGACTTGGGGAAGGTGATGTTCAAAGCTGCTCCTGAAACCCCGCAGAGGGACGAGGAGCCCCATTGGGTGTGTGTGCAGTGGCCAGTGCACACAGTCAGAACCCAAAGATAGCCAGTCAAGTCTGCTGGAGTCCTTTCCATGAAACTGCCCAATCGGGACGGGTCCGCATGCCCACCTGAGGCACCCACCCGTGTCTCACGATGACCCAGCACGAGCCCTGGGTCAGTGGCGCTGTCACCCACGGCGACTGTCTCCCCCGGAGCACCTTGCCCTGCCCTCTCCTGGCTCTGAGGGCCTGAGCTGCACGTGCCCGGGTGTCTGCACTTTCCTGCCCATGGGACGGATTGCACAGGACAGTGCATACTGCTCTGTTTACGCTTTGGGATAAGAAAGGCTCAAATTGAGAATATATATTTGGATACAAAGTTAGAACATTTCCCTGTGTGTTGAGGAGCCTTCATGTCAGTGTGTGCTTGGTCTCAGTTCCAGTACTTGGAACAGTGTCCATGTTTGCTACTTTCCTTTCCTGATTTGATACATAGCCTAACTTTGATGTTTTGGTCTCTGGAGATGATCTCTGAGTATAAAGCTGTACCATAATGCAGGATGTCAATTTAGGTGTGATTGGTCATACTTGCATCAATAAAAGAACACGTTGTTCCCCACCTACTTGCGCTCCTGTGTGTCGTGAAGCTGGGCTCTGGAGGGAAAGGGGAGGGGAGAAGAAAAGGGAAGGGAGGGAAAGGGGAGGAGAGAAGGGGAGGAGGGAGAAGCGGGGAGTTGCCAGAACCTACAGTGGCCCTGGTGGGCTGCACAGGGAGCTTCCGTCTGCAGCTGAGTGCCATGGTCTGCTGCCTGGACAGAGCTCCAGTCCTCCCTCAAAGCACACTGCAGTAGATGTCACTGCCTGCAGCTGTGCATGGTCACATGTTTGGGGGACCCCCCCCCCCTTAAACGAGGTCACAGAGGCCTCTTCCCTGTACGGTTAGCTGGCACCTTGGCATGGTGGGTGCCGTAAGTTGCACACATAACAGGATGTGCTGAGGGCACCCTAGCCTGGGAAAGGAAGAGGGGAAGCTGGTGCCTTGCTCCTCCAGTCTGCCATTCTCTGTTGGCGACAGCCCACTGTTTGAAGCCCTCGCTACAGCTCTGTAGGGCTTGAGGAGCTCAGTGTCTGGGGTCCTGAGAGGCCAGTGCTACCTGACAGGAAGCTGTCCGCCGTGGCAGGTCGTCCTGTGGTTGCACACCCCCCGGTGCTGGTCCTGAGTGCCTGTGGGCACTGAGCGCTGCAGAGTGGCCAGCACGCCCATCTGTGTGGTGTCAGTGGGTGGGTGGCACCGATGGGCTCCTCTGTGCAGTGGCTCTTGGGCTGGTATCAGGCCAGCAGCCCAGTGTTCCTCACAGGGCCACTGAACCAGGCAGCTCACTTCCCATCACTTCTTGCACCCGTCAGCACACCAGCTTCCCCCGGGACTCCCATGAGTGGAGGCTGTGCCCAGGCTGCCCCTCCCCACGCACTCGGCAACACCCTGCCTGTGCGCTGGTCTGGTGTCCTGGGTGCAGCTGGTTCCTCTGCAGCAGTGTCCCCTCCAGCCTCACTCGCTCAGGGAAACATCCCTGCAGGAGACCCGCGTGACTGGATGCACACACACTCACTCCAGGGAGGCCAAGCAGCTCAGGGTTGGAGCTGAGGATGGGAAGGGAGCTCTGGGCCCAAGGCCTGGTTCCCAGCTGGCATGAATCACGTAGCTCTTCGTGCTCCACTTGCTCAGAGTTAAATGGGGATGATCATCTCTGTCATGGGTTGGAACAGGGTGTAAACCTGACTACAAGCACCCTCTTACAGGACGCTTGAGATCCTGAGGCAAAGACACACTACCATCACAAAAGAGCCACTTCATGGTTAAACTCAACCACAAGCTTAACTGGGGGAAGAATTCCCGTAAATTTGGAATTTAAAACAACTCTTTTTTGGTACTGGGAATCGAACTCAGGGCCTTGCGCTTGCCAGGCAGGCACTGTGCCACAGAGCTACATCCCCAGTCCTAAATCAACTTTCTAAACACACACCCTACAACCCACCCACAGCCAATTTAGATCATGTCTAATACAGTATCCCTCTGAATCCCCCAAAAGAAGTCCTAATACCATCAGGAAGCCAAGGAAGGGGCCGTCTGGGTACCCAACAGACCTGGGACCCTGGCACACGTCTTCAGCAGTCACCAGAAATCACACCTCATGCATCAGGCCCCATGCATTCCCAGCACCCCAAGGGACCTGGTGTGCTCCTGCTGGGGATGAGGAGGAGGGCACTGGCACCCAAAGAAACACCCCTTAGCATGACAGTGAGCTTGAAACCAACTGTTGCCCCCAGCTCATTGTAGGGCTTTAGGGGAACTGTGTGGGTGAACCAGGGCTGTGAGCTTCACAAGGTTGTGCAGCACAAATCATGGTGTACCAGACTTTAAGCAGAAGCAAATATATGACCTATATTCTAGGTTTAAAAATCTCTCCTTGGTCCTGTCTCATCTTTTGTTATTCCTCCCCATTGGGTTTTAAGCATCCAATTATTGCAGTTTTCATTTCTACGTGTTCTATTTGATTTTTTTCACAATCTGCTCGGCCATGATTCAGATGAAATTACCATTACACGACACAGAACACAGCCAAGAACTCGGGCGTGAGGTATGGAGGCTGCAGTGATGGTTTCAGTACGTGACACAGAGCCACCGAGGAAGGGCTAGGCAGACAACACACAAGCACACTACTGCTGAAAGGCGGCAATTCCAGGAGCCTAAAGAATCTCAAGCAGGATCAGAAAAAGTTCATGTACAGACACTCCAGAGGGACAGAGGACAGACAGGAAGAGGGGGCTGCAGGAGACCAGAGGACGCCCATCCATCCATCGCTCCAGACCAGCACCATGCAGGTAGCCCACAGGGGAAACTTCCAGTCCAGCAGGTGGGAGGAACACCTGGTGTGGCTGAAGAGAACAGCCAATAGGACTGTACTCTCAAAACACAGTGCCTGAATGAAGACATGAAGATGTTTACAAGCAAACTGAGACGGAGTCTGCGATTAGCACCTTTACCAAAGAAAGTCTTGGATCCTCCTGCAACTCATGGGCAGAAATTACTTCCATATCACATGGTCTCTCTTATACGAGAAACTCAATATTTACACAAAGTGCAAAATAAAAAACAGACAAGAGGGAAAAAGAGAACAAAGTTATTGTAATACAGCATGGAGAATGTATCTAAAAGTGTAGCTAGGGCCGGGGAGTTAGCTCAGTGGTGCCGCCACCTGCCTTGCAAACGTAAGGACCCAAGTTTGATCCCGGGTACCAAAAAAAAAAAAAGTGTAGCTTGACTCAGTATAATTGTCTTGGGTGTTTTACAGGTTTTTGGCCTGCTATTAATCTGTATGTATGATAGCTGACTTCATAAGGACTTTCCAATTCCCCATAAGGAATGATATCACTATGCACTGAAACATGTACTAATAAAACTAAAAATTTAAAAAGAAACAAAAAATATTTCCAGATGGACTGTAGATGTAAATTTGAAAGTCAATACAAGAAAGTGTCTAAAATAAATGTGAACATTTCTCCTACAATTTGGAATAGGCAAAGGTTACTTAACATTAAAATTTCTAGCTATGAAAGAAAAGGAGTGAACTGGATTTTGTTATAATTAAGAACTTTTGTTTAAGGCAGTGAAAAATAGGACCCTCCCTGGGAGAAGATATTTGTAATATATAAATCTGACAAAGTACTCAAATCCAGAATACAGGGTTGGGGGTGTAGCTCTATGCAAAGGTCCTGGGGTCAATCCCCAGTAGCACAATAAATAAAGACATGTAAACAACTTTGTAAATTCCATCTAAACTTTCAAATGTATCAGTATAAATGTCTAGAAAATTATAGTTTCCCCAAAACACTTCAGGCAAAACTGACTCTAGAAAAAGCAAAAATCTAGGTAATTGAACAATCATTAAAAGAATCGAATCAGTGGTCACAAATCTTACAGGAAAGTTCATGCCCAGGTGGCCCGGGCAGCATGCGAGAGACTCAAGGAAGAACTGACCCGTCTCATCAGCTCGTCTAGGAATGGTACGAGGAACACTGGGGCCCTGTTTTATAAGCTCAGACAATGCTCACAAAGGCCACTGAGGCTGGGGAAGGGACGGGAGGGTACTCTTCCTCACAGATGGGCGCGTCTGTGTGTCACACACACACACTGCAGAGATGGACATACGTGTGTGCGTGTGCGAAACCAAACCCAGCCACACAAGTGAGCATAAGACACTGCGACCAACTGGAGTCTACTCTGGGAATGATTAATGCAGCTCACCAGCATATCAAAGGAGGAGAGAGTCAGGGTCACCCTGACAGCTGTAGCAGAGGTATGCGAGCAATGCTCTTAGGCATGACAGAAACTCGCCAAGGAAAGCCAGGACTTTGCTTAGCCTGTAAAGCCATTCTCCAAAACCTTCCAGCAAAACTGTCCTTACAGATGATGTGCTAAAGCAACAGCCTTGGGCCCTGTCCCACGCCACTATCACAGCAGGACACATGGGAGAGTGCAGGGAGGCAAGGAACAGAAATCCAGTGTCTGAAGATGGAGACACGAAACAAAGCTCTCAGATAGGTTATGGCTGTGTTACTGGAAAAATGCAAAATAAACTAGAAAGATAGTGGTACGTTGGTTCACAAACAATTCGTTCTATGATTTTAGAAAAGATGTTTGTTCGTGTGGGAAAGATAGCCGCAGTTGTGTTCGTCACCCAATGCAGAGTTTGCAAACAAAAACAACATTTTGCTAAATGTTGCTGCGTGTGGTGGCACAAGCAGGAGGGTTGCTGCGAGTCCACCACCAGCCTGGGCCACATAGTGAGTTCAAGGACAGCCTGCACCTCACAGACCCTGTCTCAGAACAAAATAAAAAAACCTGATCTTTGCCAAACACTTCTGTTTGTGAACCAAATTGTTTGCAAAGAAAAGCATTCATGAACTGAGGTTCCACTGTACATTATTGAAATGAAGAGATTTTGGGAAGGTTTCTGAACACAAGAATTAACAGGCAAAATCAATGATTTCTTTTTTCTTTAAATCAATGATTTCTAAACACCAGCAAGAGACAATAAACACTGATAAAAGACAGGTACAATGCTATAAAAAAGCAAAAATCTAAAAAAGAATACATGTAAGTCCACTATATGAAAAATTATAAACTTACCTGAAAGACAGTAAAAACAACAGGTATGTTCAGGGATCCAAGACTCCACATCATACAGATGCAGTTCTTCTTAAAGTGACCTTACGGATTCAGTGAGATCCCATATTCATAAAATTTTTTTGTGAAACAAGTTTATTCTAACATTTATATGACACTATAAAGGGTGTGACAGCCATGGTTGCTTTGAGGAACAAGGTGCTTGGCCAAGCTCTCCCAGTACAAAAGTGTAGCAGCTCAGCCCTCGGCGGGCCAGGGCAGGTAAGGCTTGTGGGGGTAAAGTACAGACCCCACCACAAGGCAGTGCTGGAGAAAGTGGAATGCAACCCTCACCTGACATCACAAAACTCTTCTCCATTAGGGTGTATATCTGAGAGAAACAAAGCTGTTCATGAGATCTTTAGAATATATATTTTGAGAAACCCTTCCCTATTATGAAGTTATGATCAATGATAAAAATTAGACGCCAACATGTCACCAAAGACACAGAGATGAAATGGAAACATATGCAAAGATGCCCCATAGCTATGTCCACAGGGAAATGCAAACCAAGGGATCAGTGAGCTACCACTAGGGCTCCATCTGAACAGCAGTTGCAGAACAGACGCCACCAATGTGCTGTGAGGAGGTGGACAGGACCACCTGTTCACAGCTGTGGAACGCAGAGTGGTACAGTCACTTCAGAAGACCCTTTGGGAGTCTCTTACAAAACCAAACACATGCTACCACACAATCAAGCAGTTTGCTCTTTGGTTTTGCCTAAAGGAGCTGAATACTTGCATCATGACAAAAACTCACCTGTGGCAAGGAACCAAGGTGCCCACCAGAGGTGAATGAAAAACTGGTCTAACAGACAATGGAATTTAGTGTAACAAGAAAAAGTTTCATGAGTCATTTCTATAATTTTCCACTTAATATTTTTCAACCATGGTTAACGGAAATGCAGAAAGTGAACACGTGGGTAAGAGGACATTGTTCATTATGGACACTCTGTACCTTCTGCTCAATCTTGCTCTGAAGTTAAAACTGTTCCAAAACTAAAGTTTATTTTAAACAGTGGAAATAATTTAAAAAAAAGATTATCCACATCCATTTTTGTTCATCAAAAAGTACCCTCAGAATGGGAAGAGACGAACCACATCTTGGGAGAAGATATCTGTAAACATCTAACCAGGAAGAACTGGTGTCTAGGGTATGCGAAGAATTCCTAGGAACTGGTAAAAATGGGCAGAAAGATTGGAAATGCAAATTATAACTATAATTAATCTCTACAGCAGCCAAATTGGCGAGAATCAACAGGTCTGGTGAAACTGGGTACTGCTAAGGTTGCAAGGTGGAGCTCCACGGTTGCTCCCACTCCTGGAGAACTGCAACGGCTTCCAGGAGATGGGCTTGGCTGGAGATGGGTCACAGTGCACTCGCAAGCAACACCCACATCACAGACAACAGGACGACAGAGAACTGGCAACACCACAGATATTTATCAATAAAACAGAATTTTAAAGTACCACAGTATATTCATAATGGAATACTATTTAACTAACAGCAATAAAGGGAACTAATTTCGAGATTAACAATGAGTGAACCCCAAAAGCTTAATACTGAGTGAAAGAGAACATATAATGAAATGATGCATATAAATTCAAAAACAGGCAAAATTAAATAGTATATTAAACAGATACAAAAGTAGTTGGGAAAAATATGAAGAGACACAAGTGGACACATCACACAAGCCAACTACCATGGAGAGGGTGAGGTATGTGGTCCAGAAGGGTGCCCAGGGGCCCGGCACTGGGAAGCCTGTATCTTCACCTGGGTGGTGGTACGCTGGTGTTTGCTTTATTAGTCTTCAAGTACATAATGGCATATTACTCAATTTCTGTATTTATGATATTTTATAACAGAAATTAATTTACCATGTTTTCATTTAACTTTTGGTAATAAAATACTTTATTAGTACTACTGAATGTCAAAAACACATAGTTCCACTGCTAGCTTCCATCTTTAGATGATAAGCTAGTTTAAAACAATAGGAGCAAAGGAAAAATCATTTGATTCTCCCATAAAGGCAAGTGGCAACTTGCCTTTGCAAATTATTAAATTCTCTCATTGGAATACTATAATTCACTGGTCTTCATAATAAATAGCTGCATACAAAAGGAGATAATGGCCTGCATTACTGTGGAGAGCACTCTCATACATCTTAAGAAACACTCCCCAAACTTAAAATTTTAAGAATTAGTTATTGTAAAACTGGATTCATGTAGCACCTAGAAATTTGGAATTTGTAACATTTCAGGTGATATGATTTACTGAGCAAAAACAGTAATAAATTTTCTCCTGTGAACTTTGAGGGGTTTATATACAAATAGCAGGTCCCTTTTAAAAGGTAAAGGTTACAGAAGCTTATGCATGCCTTTCACCTTTTTTCTCAATTTCTGGATTTAGCAATTGGCCCAATGTTAAAAGGCCCATGTGCGATAAATAATGTAAGAGTCCTGTCTGAACATAATTTCTTACTCCTCTTGTCTCACTGATGTAATACTTGAATTAAAACAATATCCTGTTTGCAGCTGATATGTTGCTCTAAAGCCACCAGCCATTCGCATTTCCCTTAGACTGCCATCTTTTCTCTCACATCAGACTGATCTTATACCTCCTTTGTCTTTCTACCTCAGTAAAATGCTCTTTCCACTCAAAGTATTTCAATAATGCAAATACAGATGTAGTAAATATTAGTGTATTAGAAAATGAAGGATAATAAATATAAATGAATCCATGCTAAATGAGGAAAGGCAATGCAGAAGCCAAACCCAGCTTGTGCGACTGGTGTGCACCTTCTCAGGAAGGTCCCATGTGTCTAGCTCATAGAAACTTCTGCTCCGGACACAGCTGGTAGCCAGCACACCAACATATCAAGTGCTATGTCAAAAATATTTCCATATTTACTTCTATTCATTCAAAGTAGCTGACAGCAACTCTGACTACTAATCAAGAACATGGCGATATACTTTATATTCTAACCTATTTTGTACTTTTACCCATTCGCTTAGGAACAGACCTCTGGGGGCTAAACAACAGTAGGTCATGGGGCTTTATTTCTATCTTCTGTCGACTGGGTGAGATTTCAGATGCAGGATTTCATTACCCACTGCTTCAGTGAAAAGGATTTTTCTTCACGCTATCAACCAAAGCTCTGGTTTAAAAAGGGAGCAGGCTGACATGGTCTGCAGGTGGAGCACCTGGTTCACACCCCACAACCCTCTTCGGGAAGCTGCTGGCTGATAGGCCAGCCTGCATGCCCCACCCCTGCCTGGTGCAACCTCGCTCCATAATCCTGAGATCACAACGCAGGTCCCAGGTACGAATAGACCCCAGCTACTTCTAGGGCAAACATTAATTTCCTTTGTTGACTGATCCACAGAACAGTACATCACAAAGCAGGCTTTGCACTGACACACTCATTTTTTTCTTCCTGTAACACAGTGAACTGCACAGACAACATCAGAAAGAATATGAGAAACACGTTTTCTCCAGGACAGGCATGGGATCTGGAAGAGGAATTAAGGCTAAACCAACAGTCTTGGCTTGTGGTCAGACTGCGTGCGACACACCCCGAGCACTAGCCGGCGGCCTCGCTGTTCGTCCGGTAGGCCTGCTTGTGAAGGTGCATCTCGATCTCCTCCCGGAAGACCATCATGCCCAGGTGGGAGTGTGAGGCCTCGCTCATGGCCTTGGACTGGATGCACATGCGGTACTGCTCTGGTGTCAGCTCGTCTGCACAATGCTTCTCATGCCAGAGGTGGAAAAGACCAGGAACCGGGGTTCGGACAACAATCAGGTCACTGTGTAAGTACTTCCGATACAGGTGAACGTCTTCTCCACCCCAGCCTTTCACTTCCATGTCGAACCCACCTGCAGGATCAAAGCGCATACTGTCAGTGGCTGCCTGGCCGCTGGAGCGCAAGCCTGGATCAGACTGACTCGAGTGCTCTGCCTTGCTGCAATGGCTCGGCCCTATACAGAGAGCCACACGGTGCCCACCTGCTCCTCGACATCTGCCAGCAGCCACCTCAGTGTTGGGTGCTGAGAGCATGAGAAACAGGTTAAGCATCTGAGAAAGCAGTGTCAACCTGCGAGTCCTACAGGAAGTCAGTAAAGGAGAAGGAAATGTGTATCACCTATACTGTCACCACCATCAGTGTTTCATCATTTTTGTTTTTTTCATCCTTTGAGAAACAAGTTTTCCTGAGCTGCAGAAAACTTCCCAGAGGGGAAAACATAAGAGAGGGCCAAGCTGGAGACAGAAGTTTGGAAAGGGGTGAATAGATGATGGAAAACCACAGGGATGAATGAAATTATTGAAGTTCAGAAGGAGAATAAGGGCAACGCGTCAACACTACGAAATGCCAATGTGAAGAGGTTAAACAGAGGCAGAGAAAGGCCACTCAGCAAAACAGACTGAGAAGCGATCCCGAAGGAAGAAGAAAAATCCTCTAGTGATTCTGGCAGGGGAGGGGAAAGGTAGCCATTCTGAAACAAGGCATCCCAGTCTTCTTAACAAGGCTGTACCTCAAAAGAAACCACAGCACCAGGAGCTACGGAGCAGGGGAAGGAAGCACCAGCTCCAGACCCCACGAGCCCTGTGCAGGAGGAAGGCTGGGCTTGAAGGACACAGCCCCTGTCATCACCGGACCTCTCAGAGCTGCAGCACGCCCCTGCCCCACCTCCCACATCACCCAAGGCTGTGGGCCACAGTCCCATTCACCCAGTGCTTTAAGTTCAGCTTGCAACACAAAAAGTAAAAGGCAAAAGACAGTTTGAAGAGAGAGCAAACACCAGACCCAGACTCAGATACAGCAGAAGCATCGGAATTACCATCCTGGGAGTCTGAAACAAATGTGTCGGAATAAGTAGACAACACGGAAGATGAATAACGCAAGCAAAGTGGGAACCCTAAGAAGGAACGCTTCAGATAAAACCCTGCCCCAGGAATGGAGAGTGTGTCTGACGAGCTTGTCAGGAGACGGGACAGGCCTGAAGAATGAATCTCTGTGTTTCAGCACATGACGACGGAAACTTCACAGCTTAACAGCCAAGAGGACAATGACTGAAAAAAAGAGAAATAAAACAGAATATCCAGGAACTGCGGGATAGCTACAAAAGGCGCAGCATGTGCATGAGAGAATGTGACAGTTCAGCTTGACTGGCTGGAGGGCCACCCAGATCACTAGGACACACTCTACTAGAACCTATCTGGGTGGGTGACAAGAGGTGTGACCTTGGGGACTATGTCTGCTTTCTGGCCCCTTCCTCTCAGTCAACACTGTTCCCCGGCTCTGCTTCCTGGCTGCTATGAACTAAGCAGCACTGTTCCACCGCACCCATCTGCCACGTTTCTGCCTTGGCAGCCTGCTCAACCATGGACTGAACCACCTGAATCTGTGAGCCAAACAAACCTCTCCTCCTTTAAGTTGTCGGTGGTAGGTACTCTGTACTCCCAATGGGACAGCTAACACAGAAAACTGGTACTAAGAAGTGAGGCTGTTGCTGTGACTACCTGACCATGTGGTTCAGAAGTCTTTGGAACTGGTGTGCAGAAGGTATTTAGGAAGCCTCAAAGAGGTGGCTAGAGAAGCCCTAGAATGCCATAAGCAGGGCATGATAGGCAATTCTGGTCGGAGCTCAGAAGACCAGAATGCTGATAGGAATGCAGACAGTAAAGGCCAGGTTCATGAATTTTCATTTGGGAAGGAAGACTCACTGGAGAACTGGACTCAAGGCCATGTGTGTTACACTCTGACAAATAAACTGGCTACACTTTGCCTGTGTCCTAAAACTCTGAGCATGTATTTAAAGGTGGCAGACCAACTGATCTGGTGAGGGAAGGCAGCCCAAGGTTCAGATTGTGGCATGGTATTGCTGGCTGTTTTTAGGCAGACGTACAGTGAGAACTGGGAGCAAAGAGCAGAGCAGAGCAGAAAATTTTGAAAAACTTAAAATTTTGGCCCACCAAGGAACCATGTGTAAACCTGGGGCCAAAGGAGGTATGGTTCCTGAAGAGATTAGTGCCATTTAAAAGACAAGTACTTTTCAAAGAATCATACCACAGTGATATATGTGGACCCATGTTTATAGTGGCACAGTTTGGAATAGCTAAAACTTGGAAACAGCCCAAGTGCCCATCAACTGGAAACTGGATAAAGAAGATGTGGATTTTTTATAAAATGGAGTGCTACTCAGCCATAAAGAACAAGAAACTAGAGACATTTATAGCTAAATGGATGTACACTGAGGCCATACTCTTAAGTGAAATAAATAGGACACAGGTGTAAATACCGAATAGTTTCTCTAGTTTGAGAAACTGAAAGTACAAATAAGGATTAAAATGATTAAAATGAATAACTGATAATTTGAAATAGGAAAAGGTCCAAAGGTGTAGGGGTGGTGTGAGGGGAAGGGAAAGGAAAGAAGGGAAAGGAAAAATTATGAGAAAAGAAAAAAATGGAAACAAAATCTATGTAAATAAGGGAAGGGTGGAGGGGGTGAAGGGCGCACAGGTAATGGGGAAAAAATAAGAACAAAGATGCATCATGTACAGGTACAAGCACCCAACGATAAAAGTAAACGTATTGTATACCTAAAACGTACCAATAAAAACTAAAATAAAAAAAGCAAAAAAACCTCCAAACAAACAAAAAAATGTACCAATAAAAGAACAAAAAAAAAAAAAAAAAAAAAAAGACAAGTACTTTGAAACAGGTCAAGGTGCCACCTTGCGGACATCTTAGGAATCAGCAAGACCCGTCATTATTTTATGGGTGCAAAAGTATAAACCTCTCACTTGAGAAGAGAGGCTCTAAGCCCTCTGCTCAAGAAAGGCAGCCTAGGGTACTGGCTCTCTGACGTTCCCTGGGATTCACTTCACCATGCTCAGCTATCCAGGCACTCAGAGGCTACTGCAGCGATGGTCCAAAGGTCACCCTTGTGCTGGTGTCATCCATGTGATACTGATCTTCCAGATGTGTAAAATGCACGAGTTGTGTCATGGAGGCTCCCACTAAGATTTCAAAGGAGGGCTTGGGAGCCCAGGCAAGTGCGCTGAAGCTGTAGAAATGAAACTAAAGATGCAGTGGAGACCCCAGAAGTCAGAGATGCCAGGAACATGGAATGCTTGCCAAGGAAAGCTGCAGGCAGTGAGCAGAACCAGCCCAAGAGAGGACGTGTGGGTTGCAACTCAGAAGGCCACGGGTGCAGGGCTGCCCAAGGCCCCTGGACCGCACACGTCTCTTCATCACGTGGTCAAGAAGCTGGACATGAAACTGCAGGACTCGAGGTTTGCCCTGCTGGGTTTCTGCCTTCTTTTGATCCTGCTTCTTTTTTTCTATCCTTTTTTCCCTTTTGGAATGGGAGTGTTTGACCTATACAATTGTATTTTGGTTTTAAGTAACTCACTTTTTAAATTTTACAGAGGTTCACAGGTAAGAGGTAGCTATGAGTCTTAAGAGGAGACTTGAACTTTTGATCAGTGTTGAACTGCTGAGAGTTTGGGAGAAGGGATTATTCCATCTTCAGTTGTGTGCAGGACAGCTGTATCATGTGAGGGAGAATTATGAACTTATTGTCTTTATTTGGAGATTAAGTATGGTTTAAAGAGATATGTTTGAGCGACAAGTTGACTAGGCGTGGAATGTGACAGTGAAGCATGACTGTCAATTTGATTGGCTTGAGAGCCATGCAGAGATTAGTAAAGCACACACTGGGTATGTCTGGGTGGGTCTGGAGGTATGACCTTGGGATCTGTATCTGGTCCCTGGCCCCTTCCTCTCTGGCACTGCTCCCTTGCTCTGCTTCTGACCCACCATGAACTAAGCAGCTTTGCTCCACCATGCCCCTCCACCATGATGCTTCTGTCTTAGAGCCAGTCAACCATGGAATGAACCCTTTGAAACTGTTAAGCCAACATATATCTCTCTTTTAAGTTGTGGGTGTCAGGTATTTTGTATCAGCAATGGGAAAGCTAATACAGAGAGGAAACAGAAAAAGGGACAAACACTATTCCAAGCAGTATCCTCCCTTCCTCACCAGCTAGCCACACCACTAGTACAGAGGCTTTGCTCTAGACATGTAGGCAGAGAATACTGGGGGGCCTACTGCTCCTACCCAGTACCCACTCCTGCCACAGGGATATCAGCTTACTTTATGAGAAGTGTACTACTGTTGTTGTTCCCAGTTCCAAGCAGAAGCTCAGAAATTGTGTTCCAAGGGAAGAAAAGTCCACAAGAACACACTGTGTCAATGCTCTTTTCAAAGGAACTGACCATATTTGAAACAGAGTATAGAGAAGGTCAAGCTTCAAGAAGGGAAGTCTTGAAAATAAAGAGTCTGATCGGTGTAGGAAAAGATTTTATGAACAAAACCTCAGTTGCCCATGAACTAGCACAAACAATCAACAAGTGGGATCTCTTCTTATTCAAA